ATCAAAGAAATCAAATAAAAGAAATATATTACAGATATCTTATTTTTCTCAGATTTGTTATTTTTAGGATCATCATTACATAGACTCATGTGACCATGCAATTTCCCTTTCACAGTTATAATGGGAGATATTTGTGATAAGAGGCTAATAAAAGTATTAAGGAAAGTAGAGCTAAAATTGTGACTTAAGAAATGATTTGAGTTGGACAAGTTTGATGTTATTATAAAAGTTTGGGCAAAAGAGTTATCAGAGGTTCTGGTGACTCATCATCAATAATAAAATCATCTGGAAGTCTTTCAAAGTGGAAGTAATTAAGAAATTAGATACAGCAGTAATAGTTAAGATAGTTAAGAAATTAGATATAGCAGCGATAGTTTGGATAGTTGATATATCTGATATAATTTTTTGAAACTAGCATGTATATGTTGTACGTCAAACCCTGATAGTCATCAATTTTAAATCAACATGTATCAACTTAAAATTCAGAATTGATATGTAAGTAAAATTTTATTTCAAGTTGAGATTATGTCAATTTAAAGTTAACTATAATGATGTAAAATTCGTTATATGTAGAAAAAAATTATATAATAGATTTTTTATGCAGCAAATTGATTAGTACATATGTAATTATAAAAAAAATTTTTTTTAAATTATTATTTTCTTTCTCGTATTTTCATAATGGAAAATAATAGCGAAGAGTACTCATTTTTTATCTGAAACTCCTTTGATTTATTTCTAGAAAATTATATTCAAAGTAGAGATGTTTATTTTTAAAAAAAATTATTTATAACACAACAAATTTATGATCAAGCTATAAGAACTATTCTAAATTCCAAAGATACAAGCTGCGGAATGGCTCAAGATCGGCATTGGATACGATTAATGTTTACAATAAAAGATATTGGATCCGAAAATAATTCAAATTATTATCTTTATCATAAAAACAAATCTGTTGCTATAAAAGAAAAACTTTATAATATTCTTTGTAGTATGTATAGAATACAACAACATGGTGGTCAGCAAAAATTATGGTCTGAACTTCAAAATCAATATAGCTTTATTCGTCAAGACTTAGTTAAAAAGTTTATTACACAATGCAAAACTTGCAAACTACAGCATAATTTTTTTCAGCATGTTGCAGCGAAACCTATAATTCATATAAAATTTATGACAAGAGTTGAAGTAAGTAAAATTGTTATGACTTTAGCTTATATTATATCGATATAATTCTAATAAATATAATTGATTTTATAGATTGATTTAATTTCAATGACTAGTAAACCCGATAATGATTACAAATATATATGCCATACAAAAATTCATTTTTCAAAATTCTGCTGGTCATTTCTGCTAACTTTTAAATGTGCTGAAGAAGTAGCAATTACTCTTTTTGATATTTTTATAATATTTGATCCTCTTATAATCTTATATACTGATAATGGTAAAGAATTTACAGCAAGCATAATTGATCAATTAGTATCTTTATGGCCAGGTACTCGTATTATCAATGGATAACCATGATATCCAGAATCCCAAGGTTCTATTGAAAAAGCTAATGATTGTTTAGAATGTAAGTTATCCAAATGGATGGAAGATGAAAAAAGTACAAACTGGACACAAGAACTTCCATTAGCAACATATGCAATGAATACCAAAATATCTCATATCACAAGACATACCCCTTATGAATTAGTATTTGGTTAAAAACTACAAATTTACCTTCCTTTATTATCGATATTTTATGAGGCTAATATAGTTAATGAAGAAGAATTATTTGACAGAATAATTCTTGATGCTAATTATAAAATTGAAAGTGATACAAATCAAAGTGTTGAATTAAATCAAAGTATTGGATTAGATCAAAGCATTGGATCAGATCGAAGTATTGAGTCAAATCAAAGTATTGAGTCAAATTGAAGTATTGAGTTAGATCGAAACATTGAATCAAATAAAAAAGTTAAGATTTTTTTTTTCTCATATTGTACTAACTAATTATATAATTTAGAATTCTGAAATTTATTATTGTAATAATAGTAATAGTGATGCCGAAACTATTAAAAGTGAAGTGTCTGATCAAAACATTAAGGTAAATAATGTTTTTTTATAAGAAAAATATATTTATAATTTATATTAATAATTTTTATATAAAGCATATTTTAAAAAGATCTAATGTGGCAAGAGGAAAAAAAAACTTATCACCAACATCATATGAGATTTATTGCATCTTAACAGCTGGACATATACAAAAAGAAGCATAAAAAATGAAAAAACAATTAGAAAATCGAAACAAAAAAAGAAATATCAATAATCTTTTTCAAAATAGTACCTATGTTAGAATCTGAATTCCACCAATTGATCGATCAAGTACAGACCGCAAAGCTTTTCCATGCAAAATTGTTGATGTTTTGCCAAATGATCAATATCATCTCAGTTGTGCTACAGATATAATTAACAGGTATTATTTAGCAAACGAAATGGAGTTAATGGGGTCACAAGAATTTTCAGAGCTTGAAAACATACCTAATATTCCTGTTGGTGTTCGTGAAGCTGTACTTGCTTAATCAGCATCAATTAATATTGGTGTTCATTGTAATTGTCATACAAAATGTAATCAAAAACATTGTAAATGCAAAAAATCTGGTGTTGTTTGTGGATCAAATTGTTATCCTAGCAATAGTCGTTGTATAAACCATGATGAATAATACTTAGTATTTGAAATAAAATAATTTATATAAATTAAAAAAATAAATTTTTTTCTCTTGCGAATATAATTTTAAGTTGATATATATTTAAATTTGATAATTAATTTGATTATATCAATTTTATATTGACGTAAGCAAATTTTAATTTGATATTGACATAATGTCAACTTAAAATTTTAAATTATTATAAGTCAATTTAAAATTAACATAAATTATGTTTTGACGTACAATATATATAGGTGAGAAAAAAAGATCTAAATAAACTTAACAATTATTTGCTTAACAAATTGCTTGACAAACTGCTTAACAACTATTTGTTCAAAATAACTATTGCAAATGTTTGACATTTGAAGGTAAAACTGTGACCATAAAGAAATTTGAAAGAGTTTCAAATAGTTAATAGTGTGAATACCCAATGCTACAATAGGAACTTTGGTATAGTTTGAGTAGACGAATATGCATGCTAATGAATGGAAATTGAAGTTTATTTTGTAAAAAGTGAAGGATACTCAGACCAAATTATTATGCCTCAACCTTAAAAAACTAAGTATTAGAGAGGACTTGAAAAACCCCTCACACACTGCATCACCTAATATTTCTTGGGAAGATTTAAACACACTCATAAAAAATGCCATGGATAACAACATTCCTAAAAGAAATCAAGTAAACCCTTCAAACCCAAAAAGTTTTTACAAAAGAATATCATAGCCATGAAGTCGATAAAAAGGCTAATATATAACATTCGAAACAATAAAAATTTCTCAAAACTTTCACCATTTGCTATAGAAGTTGTCTCTAAAATCTTGACCAATTTCAAGTCTATAAAACTCTGAGAAAAGCCCAGAGAATTATCCTTCAGGAAAAATTGCAAAGGAAAGAGAAATTATTAACAATGAAATTCAAACTGGTATGGAGAAAAACTATCTTTGATTCTGGACAAAGCCCAAGGCAGCTCTCAAAAAAGCCCTGGGAGATCTTAAACCATTTCTTGATCTCTCTATACTATTTGATGATAAACAATTAATTGATGACCCTGATAAACTTAATGAAATTATCATCAACCATTTTAAAAACATTCATATAACAAAACCTTTCAATTTAAATAACGAGTGAATAAATAATTACTAATTCTTATATCAAATCCCATCTGATGCCTTTGACAACTTAACTATATCCATAATCTTTGAGGAAAT